AGCATGAAAATAATCAGGCTGATACATTTTCAAATTGAGCAAAACAGACCGGAACCACATTTCCAGATATCTACGTTAAGTCTGGAAAACCAAAGGATTTTTCTCACAGTATATAGTTCCCTTTCGAGCTTTCACAAGACATCGCGGAGGTTTCTCCACTATGGGAACTCCTTCCCTTCCAACCTTTCCTGAAGTCCTACTGGCTCACGCCAGTCCAATTGACTGGCCAATTGTCGCAAAGTATGCAAATTGCACGTAAATACTAACGAGCTCGAAAGGCAGTATAAAATGCAGTGCACGTGACAATTACGTCAGAATATTCTCCTTCACTTACTTGTTCGCTTCAATACAACCTGAAGAATGGCTTCGTTCTGCAAGACCTGCATGGGACCTATCGAACCGCCAGATCAGCATGACAACTGCATCGCCTGCCTGGGCTTGGCCCACGCTGAGGCAGAGTTGGATGAGTCCAACTGTCACCTTCCCCGAGGACTGCTTCCACCCTCTTCCGAACATCACAGTCTTCGTGTCGTTCGGTCGGGAGGAAGAGGATGGAGACTCAATGTCAATTTTGGCCTCGGAGAAAGAGGATTGGGCGGGATCGGAGCATGACTGCCCTGACAGCGAGGGGACCCCAGATCTACAGGAGGAGCTTGTGAGGGTCATGACGAAAGCTATCCAGGAGCTCAACCTTACCTGGAGCCCTCCGGAGGAGCCTGCCAAGAGTAAGCTCGACTCCTGGTATTTTAGATCCTCTCACCGGCAAGCTGATTCGATGGCGTCTCACCCCTTCTTCCCCGATGTTCACGAACAGCACATGAAGACGTGGCCGCGCACCTATGCCCTGCAGCGGCCAAGACCCTGGGCTCGGACATCAGCCTCCCATCTAAGCCGTGCAGAACCACCACCCACCTCGTTAACAAGGCCTACGCAGCAAACGGTGAGGCGACATCAGCGCTGCATGCCATGGCGGTGCTGCAGGTGTTTCAGGCGAAGCTCCTGCAGAGGGCGGAGCCCTCACACCGGATGCCGTTAATGACCTGTGCGTGGTGACGGACTTCACTTTGATGGCCACGCAGCACGCCGCTCAGGCGATTGGTAAAGCGATGGGCTTTATGGTCGTCCTTCAGAGGCACCTATGGTTGAATCTAGCTGACCTCAAGGACGCGGACCGTAAAGTTCTCCTTAATGCCCTGGTGACTCCCTCCAGCCTCTTCAGTGATGCCATGGAGTCCATTATTGAGCGCTTAGCGGAGGCTCAAAGTGGGCCAAAGCTATGAGCCACATGATGCCTAGGCGCGCTTTCCAGCAGCACCGCGAGATCATGGTTTTCTTCGGCGCACGGTCCAGCGCAGAGGAGGGACACCAGGCACGCTGCCACTACCACAACCTCTGCTGCCCCTCTCCAGGAGCCGGATGTGCGGAGGAAGGTGTGGGGACCTGGGAAGAGGCGCCACGGCCAGCGGAGGAGCCCGCCGCCAGCTGCCAAGCCGTCGTCCTGACAGCCCAGAGAGGAGGGAAGAGTGCGAGAGTTGTTCAAGTTTGTGTTTGATAAACGTGTTCAATAAAAATGCATACATTCGCACAAAAAGAGCTTTTCCCTCCTCACTCAGTCACCCCGCCACAGAGCGGTGCAGAGCTGCCGCCCGCACGATTATAGCCGCGCAGCACTCGCCGGTGCATCCAACGACCAAGCCGCAAAAGCCACTATGTCAGTTACTGAGCACATGGGAAGTTATTCTGGGAATCTTGAGCTGGCTACTCAGTGTGATAGAATGTGGGTATCCGGTATACTCAATTCAGACACAGAGCACCCCGTTTCAATGGCGCGGTGCAGTCTCTAACATTGCCTCGAAATGCCCCGGTTCTGAGACAAGATGTATGCAGCCTGCTCGAAAAAGGAGCGATAGAGTGAGTTCCTCCGAGCGAGCTGGAGAGCGGGTTTTACAGCCACTATTTTGTGGTACCCAAGAAAGATGGGGGACTCCGCCAATCCTAGATCTCAGGCCTATCAACAGAGCGCTTTGCAAGCGTCCGTTCAGGATCCTGGCACAAATTCTCCCCGGTGACTGGTTTGCATCTGTGGATTTAAAGGACGCATAAATTCACATTCAGATAGCACCGCATCACAGACGCTTTCTGAGGTTTGCTTTCAAGGGCACGACGTACCAGTACTCTTCGTTTGGGCTGGCTTTAGCCCCACGCACTTTCTCAAAGTGCATTGATGCAGCACTTTACCCCCTCAGAGTGAACGGGATGCGCATTCTCAATCTCAACTATCTGGACGATTGGCTGATTTTAGCTCATTCACGGGACACACTAGCCAGCCATATAGACACGCTGCTTCGTCACTTGGCGTCCCTAAGGCTATGTGTCAACATGCAGAAGAGCATTCTCGCCCAGAGTCAGTCTGTAACATATCTGGGGGTGTGTTTCAACTCGGTGGAGATGCGCACCCGCCTCTCTCGGGAGTGCTTGGCAGCCATTTTGTCCTCCCTGCGCCATTTCAGACTGGGCAGCTCTGTTCACTTGAAGGAATTTCAGAGGCTGCTGGGACTCATGGCAGCAGCATCAGCGGTGTGTCATCTGGGTTTACTACACATGCTGTGGCTGAAATCTTGAGTCCCTTGGACGGCGTGGATTTCGGGCCGTTTGCGCATCGCGGTATGCCACGGCTGCATCGAAGCTCTGAGGCCGTGGTGCAACCCAGATCTCTTCAGCCAAGGGGTTCCCCTGGGCTTGGTGACGTCGCGCATTGTGGTCAAGATGGACGCATCGACTCGCGGTTGGGGAGCAGTGTGTGAGGGCATGCCGGCTTCGGGGCTGTGGGCAGAACCCCAGAGCCTGTGGCACATAAACCAGTCGAAGCTGGAAACAGTGTTCTTAGCTCTAAAGGTTTTTCGACTGCAGCTGGAACTGCGGCATATACTGATTCGCACCGACAACATGTCTGTGGTCTCGTACATAAATCACCAAGGAGGTGTGCGCTACAGGGCGCTATACGAGCAGGCAGCGAGTCTCCTGCGGTGGGCGGACCGTCACTTTCTCTCCATCAGAGCAGCACACATTCCCAGTCTCCTGAACTGCGGGGCAGACATGCTTTCGAGGAAAGGGATTCCTCAAGGAGAGTGGAGGTTGCACCCAGAGTCAGTTCGGATGATTTGGACGCGCTACGGAAGAGCGGAGGTGGATTTGTTCACGACGAGCGAGAATACGCATTGCCCGCTGTTCTTCTCTCTGTCTTACTCTCCGCTGGAAGGGGATGCTCTGGCATCGCCTTGGCCAGCAGCCAGACTGTACGCGTTTCCCCCGATCAAGATATTGCCGCTGGTGTTATGCCAGGGGGCTTCGGTGATACTTGTGGCCCCCGAACTGGCTGAACCAGCCTTGGTTCCCGGACCTGACAGAGCTGCTGGTGGTGCCACCCTGGCCGATCCCCATCAGGAAGGATCTGCTGTCTCAAGCAAGCGGCTCGGTGTGGCACTGCTTCGGGGATATCAGAGGAGCTGACCGCCCTGCATTCTCGTGTGCGCGGCACGCTCTTGGAGGCGCGGGCACCCTCCATGAGACGTTTGTATTAGGGCTGAACGATTTTGAATTCTAATTTTTACCTATATTGCGATTGCGATTTAATATGCAATTATTTTTTTAAAGCTCTTTATGTTCTGTATTATTCAACAAAGACAAGCTATAAATCATTTTATAGTATGCCCAACACACTATTAGATAGATTAAACATAAATGTTCTTTTCTGTAGGCCAGGCCTATATGTTACGATGAAATTAGGTGATGCATAAATTGATATGAATAACATTTTTATTTAACAACTACAAACACAGTATATTGACTGATTTGTTGAACTTTCAACCTTGTAAGCATGTAATAATTATGTTTAAATAAGCCTGGTGTAAACATTAATATGAAAGTCAGTAACAAATCACACAAACTAAAGTAGATTGCAGAAATATAAAAACAAATCTGTTGCTTTACCACACTACTTTAGGTAATTCAAAGTCACTGTAATAAACATATGTAAACATGTGCACTGCACTTTTTAAACATTGTCTGTTAACTTTAGACCAGTGGTTCTCAAACTTTTTTGGTCGCGCCCCCCTTTAAACCTATAAAAAAAAACTGCCCCCCATCCCACCTACCAAATAATTTCACTAAACATTATGAAAAATGTATATTTTTTAAATTAAAAAATCCTACAGCGAAAAAAACACCTGCATCACTTGAAACATTGAAAAATAGCATAGAGAGAATGACTTATTATTATTATTCTCTCGCTGTTATTTATTTATTTGTTGTGAGTTTCATGCTGTCCGCTAAGGCATAGGACACAGACAGGCTTTCCTCCTCACCAACGACATTAAACACAGTGTATACACTGGACGCGAGCAGCAAAATACAGTAGAACCCATTATAACCAGTGACGCTGTGTACACTGGATGCGACGCGACATTAAACTGATGCCTTGTTCTGTTTATGACGTACCTACACAAAGTTAAAATGATTTGCAATGGTCGCTTTGTCGCGTCAGTGTGGAGCTGTTGCGGCGCGACGGTCTGAAATGCCTTTGGAGACGGCTTATGGTAGAGAAATGAACATTCAATTCACGGGCAACAGCTCTGGTGGACATTCCTGCAGTCAGCATGCCAATTGCACACTCCCTCAAAACTTGCGACATCTGTGGCATTGTGCTGTGTGATAAAACTGCACATTTTAGAGTGGCCTTTTATTGTGGCTAGCCTAAGGCACACCTGTGCAATAATCATGCTGTCTAATCAGCATCTTGATATGCCACACCTGTGAGGTGGATGGATTATCTCGGCAAAGGAAAAGTGCTCACTAACACAGATTTAGACAAGTTGAAGCGTAGACAGAAAAGCATCCATGAGTTTGTTAAAGACAGTCCTGATCTGCTGAACTTCATCAAGGCTACAAGCGGGCGATACCATGTTTTTGACAACGACACACATGATCCAAACCAAGTCAACATGCTGTTTGAACAGATAGACCAGCTCGTGACTGTAAATGGTGAAGAGTATTACACAAATGAAATGCTTCAGGCAGCTGAGAGAGCAATAGAGGAAGAAAAAGAAAGACTTATGCTGCAACTAAAAATGAGTGAACAGAAAGCGAGAGATAGAGCGGAAAGAAAAAATATGTTTCTCAAAACTGGTTTGGCAGTGGCAGGAGGTGCTGCTGTCACTGCTGCTGCTGCTACTGTTGCTGTAAAAGCCTGCCAACTTCAATGAGAAAAGTTATCTGATTTGTTAATCCATCATTGGTTTGTCTTTGATTAGTAATATAATTTTTAATTATTATTGAGCAAAATAACAACTGACAACAGCACTGTACCATAATTTATGTCTATACCCTCATTGCCAGCTAATGGAAAACTTTATTATACTGGGTCACTGTAGTTTATTTTAGTATACAATGCATACTTATAATACAAACTTGAAATAATAAAAGATCATTGAGTCAAAAATTTGTTTTGTTTTTAGATACTTGATGACATTTGATACTTGATGCTTACTATGTGCAATGTTTGTGTGATATCATTTTGTGTCTGGTTATGAATGATGACCTTGAGTTTTGAGTTTTATTTTCTTTTCCAGGAGTGAAGGAGCACCTTCGACTGGTTCTGGTCGGCCTTCAGGGAGTTGGGAAGAGTGCAGCAGGAAACATCATTCTGGGCCGAGAAGAGTTTCTCTCAGACCTCAGCGCCACTTCTCTCACATCCACAAGTGAACGGAGGGATGCTGTTGTCTGTGGGAGGAAAGTGACTGTTGTGGACTCTCCTGGCTTATTAAACAGTGATGCGTCTGATACAAAAATAGAGCAGGAGCTGGAGAAAGCTTTGACTCTGTGTGAACCAGGACCCCATGCTTTTCTCCTTGTTATTCAGTTGGGTCGCTTCACTGAGCAAGAAAGACATGTGATGGACACTCTCCAGAAGATGTTGTGCTCAAATGTGAATTCATTCACAATAGTGCTTCTTACATATGGAGACAAACTTAAGAATAAAAGTGTAGACGAGTTTATAAGGGAGGATAAAAACCTGCAGAAACTGATCCAAAAATGTGGCTCACAATATCATGTGTTCAATAATACTGAGAGAGAAAACACGTCAGGTCAGTGAGCTCTTTGAGAAAGTGGACTGTCAGTTGGGAAAGAGAAACAAAAAATATAATGTTAGGACAAACAAGGAGCAGGGAAAGTCCTGGAACACACGCCACTTCTACATTGCAGCATGTTCAACAAGGATAACAAGAAAGTATATTCATTTGGTTTTGTACCACTGTTTTTTATTATGAAGAATAGCAATATAGCAGGTAAACTAATTGTTTTATTTACAACACTTTGAAATATAGATACTCAAATGTGCCTTTGAAACATTGCCTGTTTGGAAGAAATTATGTATATTCACTATTTTAAATGTTTAAGAATTATATGCAGTTGATTTTTATGGTAAATTTGTATCTTGTCAAACACAAGAATGTTTGCCTGTTTGAAAAATGTAGCCCTACTAGTTGATGGTAACGGTGTGTCGAATCTTGTGTAAACATTATGTTTGCGTTTTTAAATAAAAAGATGAACAGAAAGTGTCATTATAGATTATTATGCTATGATTTTTTGGCTGTGATTTACTGATATTGGGCGTGCTTGAAACACATGGAATTAAAGGCGGTTATTCTCATTAGTTATTTTTTTCTAAAGGTGCAAACTTGAGCTTTAGGATTAAAGTTTGAAAATCTGCCACTGACATTCAGTAAAAGGCACAACAGTGATCTTGTATATATTTAACCATTTTATAGCTGCACAATGACTGTGTAGATTCTTGTGCTGTAGAATTCACACACTAAGTTTCAGGACAATGGCAAAGCAGGTACGTCCTGCAGCAAATATTTTGATATCAAGAAAAACAAATATATAAAACATAGACACATCTTCTATAACCTTCTTGAAGAAGAATATTTTCAACAGATACTCATTTCAGTGTCAAATTGTATATACATGTTAATGATGTAACATATTACATTATGCAATATGAATCATTGCTTTTGCATTTCAGTGCCAGAGCAGCAGAATCCATGTGAAGAGCTCAGGATTGTTCTCTTGGGAAAAACTGGAGTTGGAAAAAGTGCCACTGGAAACACTATTCCTGGTGAAAATGTTTTTAAAGTGAATTTGTCATCATCGTCTGTGACAAAGGTTTGCTGTAAAGCTACAAAGAATGTGAACAGTACAAAGGTTGCTGTTATTGACACACCAGGACTGTTTGACCCCAGCTTTACTATAGAGGAGATGGTCAGCAGAATTAAGCTGTGTATTCCCCTTTCTGCTCCTGGTCCACACGTCTTCTTACTGGTGCTTCAGCCTGGTCGCTTCACAAAAGAGGACAGAGACACCGTGGACATCTTTCTCAAGATCTTTGGAGAAGATGCAAGTAAGCACGCCATGATTTTATTTACACATGGAGAAAAGTTTGAGGGTAGAAATGTTCAAGAGTTTGCCGCTGGCAATCCTGAATTAAAGACACTCTTTGAGAAATGTCAGCGATATCATGTTTTTAATAATGAGAACAAAGATACCATGCAGGTTGAGCAACTTTTTGAAAAAATGCACAAGATGATTTCTGAGAATAGAGGGCACTTTTATACCAATGAAATGCTTGAGAAGGCAGAGATCACAATTCAAGAGGAAAAACAGCGAATCTTAATGGAAAATGAAGAGCAGAGAAGCAAAGAACTGGAGGATCTGAAAATCAAATATGAAGCAGAGGCTCTGAATCAGGCCATAACAGAGCTGTGGGAAAGAAAAGAGAGGGAGGCAAGAGAGAAAGTGGAGAGAAACAACACATTTCTCAAAATAATCACAGACTTTCTGTTTACTACTCTTGAAAACTTGGACAAAACCAATAAAGTATACTTGTTTAACATCTGTAGGTCTATGAATCTTTTTAGAAGCCAGCCTAAATCTAACCTTAACCTCTGTAGACAACACCAACCCATCCATAGTATAGTGTGTGTCAATATGGGGTGCTGTGTGTACATTAATGAGGGAAAAAAATTAACTTAAATGATTTTAGCAAATGGCTGCAATATAACAAAGAGTGAAAAATTTAAGGGGGTCTGAATACTTTCCGTACCCACTGTATATACTGTATATATACATGACCTCAAAAGATATCTGGAGAATTTAGTAACTTAAAAATATAGATTATTTGCTTATTTAAAAAAAATAAAAAAAGATTTATTTGCATTATCTCTCAATGTAGCACATGTGCACTTATGCAATATATTTCATAAAATGATAATCATTCCAAATGATTACCTACTAATGTGGTTTCAGGGTTCCAATCACAAAACATTTAGACCCGTGTGGTTTGCAGCTTTTTTTTTTGTTAAGAGCGAAAACATAGAAAGTAGCTTCCAATATTGTGTCTAAAAGTCACTCAATATAAAATTATAGGTTATTTACACTGTTTGTATCGCTTCAATTGTTTTCCAAGGATTTCCTTTGTTTAGAAATGATAAATGAATCATATAGGCTATGTGCTTCATTAAAATACATATTAACGGATTATCATAGGAAATGTATATGTTTGTATTATAATACATCTCTGCATAATTACAATTTAATAAAGTTCCAGACCTATGGGTTTGGGAGGAGTGGGACTAGGGTTGGCCAACCCACTCACAACTGCTGCTTCTGTCTGTCTGCTTCTGTTTGCGTTTATTTAGATGCAGAACGTCTTTACGACCACTTCAAACAGGAGACTTTTCAGACACGCACTCCAACTTCACCTGAGCGCCAGGCGCAAGTCAAACAAGTGTGGAAAAGGTTCAGATGACAAGGAGCTTCAGTCGAACATCAGTGAATTGCTGTCAGATGAGATGTTGTCAGGCCATACAGTATGTCATCCGTTATATGGGCTCGTCACATTCAGCAGCGGCAACTCGGCAGCCAAATAATCTAATAACCCAGCTGCTGTGATGTCTGTTAATCATAGAACAAAATAAAAAAAAGAGGAAATCAATAATAATCATCTATATTTAATTTTAGAATTTAGTGTTGATAAATTGATTCAGTTTCTGTATATTTCCTACTTGCTGAAGGGCACAGGTAAATATGACATGCTTCACGCTTCGCATGATAATTACATTTTTTTCTCTTATGTTTTGTAGAATTTCGTTTACTTTGATCTCATTAGCATGAAAACACTTGCTGCTGCTTCAGCCGTCATATGGTAGATTATCCAAATAAAGTGTTTGTTCAACAAGCTGACTGAAGTCGATCCATTTCTTAGTTGGAAACGTTTTAATGACAAAGTATTGTTGTCATTGTAAATATAAATTTTTCCATGGCCACAGAGAATCAGAGATTGTGGGTCACAGACAGACACAAGCACAAGCACACTGTATTTGACAAACCATTCGAATTAACGCGCGGAGACCTTGTTAGGCGCTTGATCTTTACTTTTTGTGATTATTTCGATTGATTTTTGCTTGGTGCAATGCTGAAAAGTTGCTGTGTGGCGTTCTGTACCTCTAATAAGTTAAAAAACCTGTTCTGACGATGTATATGACTGATACACTGCAATGATCTGTCGTTAGTCCCGTCCCCCGGTGTAGTGCCGAGATTTGCCCCCTGACAGATTATGCACCCCCTAGTATTGTCTATGACAACTAAAATTAAATCCCAGGAAGCTTGAACAGTTTTGTAGCATTTTAAAATGCTGGTTTAATGTAGTAAGGCAGTGATGCTAAAAGACATGCAGATGAAGCCAGAATATATAGGCTAACGCAACTTTTTTTATTAAGCGTCTTCCTCCCTTCACAAAATCGTAATGAAGAAAACGCTTATGTATTAAGACAGTATTTAAAGTTCATATTTTGGGTTCATCAGTTTTTCTGCAGATATTATGCTTTATTAAGTAAGGTGTGTAACGTTACAGAATGTGGTAGGCTAGCTATTTTAATACCACTATCTCAGTACATTAAGCATTCTTTATATGATAGGAAAAAATCTAAATACTGCCCTGTACTCAATAGCGGAGAGGCAGCTTCCCAGAACTCGGCTTCACATTCTCTATTGTCATTTTGGACTCCTTTCTCTCAGAGCTTTCTCATGTCTCAGTTGTGTCTTCTTTTATTTCTCCTAAGGAATGTTAGGAGAAACATCTGAGACACTGTTGAGACTAAAATGAGAAATACATGAGAATCACAACTAGGTCTCATGAGCTTAGAAAGAGCAACCACTGAGCAACAAATGTCTCCTCTGGGAAGTGCTCTAAGTGATACAATATTAACAAAGGTGGAAGCAGATATTACTCAAAGATAAAAATTTCTATGGTGAAGTTTTGTCTTCTATAAAACACATGGATTTAAATGTAGTGCCTACTAGTTGATGGTAACAATTTTATTTATGAATGAGCAGAAGCTCTGAAACAGGCTATAACAGTGCAGTGGGAAAGAAAAGAGGGGAAGGCAAGAGAGAAAGCAGAGAGAGCCTCTTTCTCTTTGAAAGCAAAGCACTTACCACTATGTTAATGAGCTATGACTAAGAGCTTTAATAAATGTCAGTGGCTTGTTATTTATAAAATATTCATTCATTCAAAAAAAAAAAGATTGCATGTAATTTTTTTTACATTTAAATTTATTTTAAATGTTTATGGGTTTAGCTACTGAATCAGAAAACTCAAGCACTGTGCCATAATCTAGTGTATAGAGCTTATTTCATATAGAAGAGCTGTTGTGTTTAGGGAACACAATTTCCAATCCGGACTGCGTATGATCCCATTCATTCTCTTTCTCGATACTCTCCTGTCAGCAAAATTATCAGATGAGAACAAGATTGACAGTAAGGTGTAATGTTTTAATATGTATAAATGTTGCATGTACTGAGGGCATAATAATAAAAAGGCTGATACATTTTCAAGTTTAACAAAACAGACCAGAACGACTGTATCTAGAAAAGTTAAGTCTGGAAAACAAAGGATTAATCCCACAGGATATACTCTTAATTTATTTTGATTAAAAATAAAAAAAACATACAGAGTAAATAAAAAGGATGCCCATTGTAGATGGTCATTCACAGCAAAGTTTGTACATACTCTATTATAGAAATGGTCTAAAATTGTATTAGTCTTAAAAACTGAGAAAAAAAATTGGAGAAACATTTGTTGTTGAAAATCAGAGACACATCTGTAAATGTTTTGAATAATCTAAGTTTTTCGTCCCCCTGTATGATACTTTTGGGCACCTTTCATAATAGGTAGGCCTAATACTAGAGTTAAAATATGTAAACAAAATTGTTTCTAAACATCTGCTCTTCTGAACTTCTGCTGGGATATGTTACTGTAAAGCATACATGGAAATAATCAAATGAAACAACCTGTTTAATTTGGAAACAAAAAATTGACAAGATCAATAAGCAATTTCAACGGATGAAAGCGAATAAAATAATTGTTGTTCTCAGCTTCAATTCTTGCCCGTTCCTCCTGATCCTTAGCTAATTGCCTTTTCATTTTCTCTTGTTCTTCATGCACGAGATTTTGAATCTCACGCTCTAGAGCCTCCATCTCCCTCTTTCGCTCTTCTTCATTCTCCTTCATGATCCGTTGTTTCTCCTCCTCAATTGCTTTCTCTGCTTCCTGAAGCATTTCATTAGTGTAGTATTGTCCATCATTAATACTAACCATTTCATCAATTTTGTCTAGCAGCTGCATAACCTGTGCTCTATCCTGTTTGTCATTGTCAATCACAAAGCAGCGCTCCCCACATTTTCTGACAAAATTCTGTAGTTCTGAATTTTCGCTCACAAATGTTTCAATATTCTTCCCTTTAAGTTGATTTCCATGAGTGAACAGTGCCATGGTATAAGGTATTGCATCTTTACCAAATAATCTTTCAATAAATTCTATTGTTTTTTCATTTTCTTCTGTGAATCTTTCCAATTTAATAACAACTAGAAAGGCATGAGGACCTGGAGCAGAATAAGATATACACATCTTAATTTCTTCCATTACCTTTTGTTTACTTTCTTTATCTTTTCTTGTGTCAAAAAGACCAGGTGTGTCAATAATTGAGATTTTTCTCCCATTAATAATGTTAGATTTCTTTTTACAGTCTTGGGTAATAGATGAAGCGGAAATATTGGATTCAAAGACTTCCTTTCCCAGGATGGTGTTTCCTGTTGCACTTTTTCCAACCCCTGTCTTTCCGATCAGGACAATCCGGATCTCATCTATCATGTAATGATTTATGAAACAGATAATTATAATAAATAATTTCAATGATTCAATCATTTTAATAATCATAACAATTTTATTAGTTTTGTTTATCCATGCAAAGCACAAGCACATCTACAGTTGGAAAAAAACACCAATTTAAGACCAATTTAACTGACATAATTTTACCTGTCTCTGATTCAGCATTGCATGAAGTGTTGGTCTCATTTTTCCGGATCTGCAAACAAGTATATGAATATATAATGTTCATAAAATTATTGATGCCTTATAGGTGTGATTTAAAAAAACAAAACAATTATCATAATTTTAAGTACTGAAATGTCTTTAAACAAGAAAGTTTGTTATGTTTTAAAATATTTTAAAATGATAAATATATAAACCTTCTTAAAAAAACGGTTCCGGTTATGCAGTCTACTTTCATGGTTTTATCACGTCACAATATATCGCAATGTTGAACCATAATATTTTGGATCATAATATTTTAGTTTGAATTAATTTCACAATTAATTGACCATAGTGGTGAATTTAAAATAATTTCACTCATTTGTTTAAGCAAATACGTTGCGTTAAATTCTAAAATTAAAATGTTTATTTCCATACTTAGTTGTTAGGCATCCTGTTAATTATTTTGTGATTGTGTCACAATTAATCAAAGTGTCTGAGCAAGTTTAAGCGAGCAAGTTTGAGGATTGTACACAAGGCCCTCACAAATTCACTGTACACACCTCAAAAATACTGCATTGCAGGAAGAACGCATGTACAAGCCTTTGCTGTCTGATAAAGGATAATGTTCTTTCCAAGCAGCATATTTAGAATATTCCATCAGTGCCTACGGGTTTTTCATATGCAGATGCTGTCAGTGATTTATAGTTTAAGGCATAGCAACAATGCTACTTTTGTTAAACTAATATAAAAGCTATTCTGAAGGCACAGAGCAAGAGTCAAAACAACAAGCAATGATATTTTCATAGTGATAGTGATAATTACCCGTAAACCAGCTGCAACAACACCACAGAAAAAAGACCAGGAAAGCCAGGACTTGGATGCTTTAAGGGGTTCTTTAAACTGGCTGTGTTTTGCTGTGGTTTGAGATTTTTTTTTTGTTAACCATATGTTAATATGATGTATTAGCTATTTATTTAACATTAATGATATTTGCAATGCTAAATTTCATGTTAATTGTTGAATCCTACCTTCCATTGCAGATCTGCTGGTCTGAATTTCTCTGTATAGCTTTGTTTTAGTTTTAACTTTCATTTCTCCCCACTGTCCTATAGACCTGGTATCTATGAAGGGGAGGAGCCTCAGATGACACTTGCATGCTCAATAACTTTTCTCTTGTTTTTCTGTCACCTGATGCCTCTAAGCATTCAGTCATGTGCATTACGAAACAGCAGAATTCATCATGAATCTGTTATAGCTTTGATTTATTCAAAGTTATTTATGTACCCTTGAATTAGAAATGATTTACATAATGTATAAGTAAATGAATCCTTTAGTGGATAGTGTACTGCGCTACTGCTGTGTGAGCAAGGTCACACATGCCCTGTATGTGCTTTTTTTTTCTTAAGGAATGTTATTTGAGGCTACTGTAAGTGCAAATTCTACATGGAAAGAACAATTTGCATGTCTCATTTTTCTTTCGTTTAAATCATATATGGTGCTCTAAGGGGAATATTTGCTCTCCTGAAATTACATTTACATGCATCTGTTGCTGTTTTTTATTATTATTATGTTATGTTTCTTTGATTGTTTTGTCAAATTTATTTATCAAGTACTTGGTGCTTCTTCACAAATTTCATAACCTGAACTGAGAATTTCTGACAAATACATTAAAAGAAAACACTGGCATCACAGCATAAACTTGATTTATTTAAATAATTTTCGTTGTTTAAAAAGAATTTTATTAAGCTATTTAAACTCCCACTGCATTAGTTTGACTGACTGATATAACGTGGATGATTTCAATAGTTTTTACTATTTTCTTGTTTAAATAAAGTTTTTGCACAAATGCCAGTTCTCAAATCTCAAATAGTCTATAAACTACAGTTAGCAAATTATGTAAACATGCAGGGACGAATGATGGAAACATGAAATTTCCCACCAAAACTAGGAAGAAGAACAATCCACACTACAAGTGATAGGGCTGTTTAGATCCCAGATAAAAGAAAAGGAGTTTAAAAGAGGTCTGGTATTTGCATAAGCCTTTGGTGGTATATTGAAAAGAATTTGCACATTCCAGCAACACCCCTTTGTTTTAGAACAAAACCAACTGGAAAAAAGTATGTTTGTCAGGATTACATAACTCTACTGCTGTCATTTAACCCTTTACACCAACCCTTTACAGTTTCATGTGTGCATTAGATTAGTTTAAAATAGACTTATAATTTTGTGATGGAAAGTGTCACTGGCAAAATAACAAAGGTTGATTTTTAACGTGTCTGTTATGTGTGTGTTAAAACACATATTTAAAGGAATCATTTTCATGCTGCACAAACCCAGACTCTGTTGACGCTCTAGGCAGTACTGTAACAATTTATCAAAACTCATTTAACAAAACCTGTGTTGTGCCAAGGTTTTCATGTAGTATAGCATTTTATGACCATGACAATGACAATTTATTTATATAGCACGATTAAAAACAACCCGCGTTGACCAATGTGCTTTACAATAACTAAAACCACAAACAACAAGAACAAAACAATAAGACAGAAACAACTAAAATTGTAAAAGAGTACCATAAAAGTAAAAAAGCTTCAACATAATATAAAACAGTAATATACAATAGAATTAAATGCTTTATCAAATAGAAAAGTTTTTAAATTAGATTTAAAAACAGACAAATATGATGCCAGTCTAATAGATATGGGCAAATCATTCCAAAGTCTGGGGGCTTTTTGAAGCTCAAAGTGGGCAGAGCGGGCTGTCCAAAATTGATTGTAGAACCATTGCCATCAACTGGCTTACGATGCTTTTGGGAAAAGCAGCCCTGAAGAGTTTTGTAAATAATAGCCTACTGTAAATGCCCGACATGCCAATAAAGCTTTGATTATGCCAGTGGTTCTCAAACCTGTCCTGGAGTACCCCCAGCCCTGCACATTTTGTATGGCTGTTTCTCAATATGCATTCTGGTCTGTACTTGTGTTCTTGTGGACTTGTGAAACGTCATCAGTCGTCACCCAAGTACTGTTCCAATTCAAAGTTCACATCTAGCCAAGTACAGTTCAAATCCCCGGATGTGTTCTTGCTCCGCCCCTTTTATCAAGGATGCATCCAGAGGTGACTTGTGCGAACTTGAGGCAGCCAGGTATCCCAGAATGCATTTCGCACCAACCAGCAAGTGTTAATGGCGGAGGAGAAAACCTGCATCATTTTCAAAATATTAATGTTATTGTGTCAAGAAATGCAGTTCTAAGAGTATTTCAGGCAAGAATGCAGTTGTTTAAAACTCAAATCTGCGGTTTATTAATAAAGATAGCGCCTATTTGAAAATGTGCTTCGCCGTTTTCGGAGACGTGAGCTTTACGTGATCAGCGGGCGCTCAGTGCTCTGATGTCTCAGTAGTGGTTAAACATGAGGTATAATTAATTTGGGGTAAATCTAACAAGCAATCTTTGGTCCCATTAATCTATTATTTCTTCCAGGTCATATCGTTTTGGCTGAGCACAAAGTTATGTTTCATAAATTATTTATTTATTAATCGCGTAATACAGCACTGACTTTGTTGCATACATTTGACTGAATTGTTTGCTTTTGTCTTATTTCCTATTACATAAGTCTCTTATACTTTAGAGTTATACTTTTATAATGGCTATTATTGTTCATTAAAACTGACATTTAACAAAAAAAGCAGAGTTGTGCTTGTCATATTTCATTTTATTATACATTCAGTGAAGATAATCAGAGTATATGTGCACATATTACCTAAACTGAACAACTTTGCCTCCGGGAGTAATGCTGTCAATCAAATCGTTCATTAAATATTAAATATTCTCAATTATGTTAAAAAACTATTTTTGTGAACTAGTCCTAGGTTTTTCGCTCAATCTCGATCAAACCACTACAAAACAATTTTCTGGACTCTCTAGATCAATAATTATCAAAAACGTTTTGAATTTTGTCCTTTGGTTAGCTATAACGGGGTCATTTAGAAAAGGAGCTTGGCCACATATACCCAAAAGCCTATAAAACCTAAACGAAAACTCAAAATGTTATGAAACTTGGGGAAAACATGTGACAGATGACTCTTAACAAGCATGCAAAGTTTCATAGAGATCGGGCCATAGGTGGCGCTATAACAGTTAAAAAGGCCTCAAAACACACATTTCTATAGTAAATGATAGTAAACCTCAAATTGCAAAAAAAAAAAAGTTAATATATTCACACAAACACTAGATCTTCATATCATATGATAGATCTCCTCATTCTGAATAACTTTGCCTCTAGGACCAATGCTGTCAATCAAACTATTAATTAAATATTTGTGATTGTTTTAAAAAACTACTTTTGTGAACTAGTCGTAGGTTTTAAACTCAAAATCGATATAATCAGTGCAGTACATTTCTCTGGACTTTCTAGATCAAGAATAATAATAAAAAATAGAAAATTTGCATTTGGACAGTTATAACAGGACCATTTCGTAATATGGTCTTGATCTAGTGTACCCAAATGTACGGTGGCCGAGAGAGCTCAACGCGCTGCAACTTAAGAAAACACATGCAAATTGAAAAAACACCAGCAAATTAAGAAAACATCTTCATCAGTTTGACAACACACGCGCTGCAAATCCTCACAACACATGCAAATGAAGAAACGCTGCAAATCCTCACAACACATGCAAATGAAGAAACGCTGCAAATCCTCACAACACATGCAAATGAAGAAACGCTGCAAATCCTCACAACACATGCAAATGAAGAAACGCTCTGCAAATCCTCACAACACATGCAAATGAAGAAACGCTCTGCAAATCCTCACAACACATGCAAATGAAGAAACGCTCTGCAAATCCTCACAACACATGCAAATGAAGAAACGCTCTGCAAATCCTCACAACACATGCAAATGAAGAAACGCTGCAAATCCTCACAACACATGCAAATGAAGAAACGCGCTGCAAATAGCACGAACCACAACGGAAATGTTTCAAGGGGACCCAAAAAAAGTGACGGACCCGGCTGGGATTTGTTTTGTGCAGTGGCTTTTTTTTGTTTTGAGTTTCTGCTACTGATTCCTTATTTTTTATTTTTATTTTATTTTATTGAAGATGTAACATTCACAGGGGATACAGTCATAGCAATAAATTACATACACAACCAGAATACAAAACAATAAATACATAAAGAATAATAAAAATGAAATATAAACAGAACAAAAACAAATAAATAAAAAGTTAAACATCTTTTCTTTTTTTCCATTTTCTTAAATAAATAAATCATAAATAAATTAAAATTAAAAATAACTTAAATGGAAAATTACACATAAAATGTCAACTTCAAAGAATACACAGGAGGTAACCCTTGCATCAAAGTCAATATTTTTTCCATCAGTACAGTAGTTTTAACAGCTTTCTTATTAAGTGATGAGCAGAGAGATTCAGAAAATCATTTCAAATCAATACAAAAAATCCTAAAATTGGGCATACAATTTGTGCAGTGGCTATTGGTCAGTGGAGTTGTCGGTTGTCGAACTGTCCTGAGCGCGTTCACAACATCCAATGAGTGATGTATAAGCACGACAGATTGCTTCCGCTCATGCATCTATTATGCCAGAGCATGTACACGCGTCAGGCGCAGGATGTTCATCACGAGCCGCAGAGTTTAATTTGGTTTTGTCTGTGTATGTTTTTTTTTACTCTCAAAGCCTTGGAGCCCATTGACTGCCATTATGTGACTGACAGACTGCTACAGTTTGAGTTAAAAACCTTCGTTTGTGTTCTACTGAAGAAACAAAGTCACCTACATCTTGGATGCCCTGGTGGTAAGCAGATAAACATAAAATTTTCATTTTTGGGTGAAATATCCTTTTAAGGGGTTAAATAGCTAAGGCATTTGCACCCATTTGTGTGCCCATGGGCGTGCTGGTCTGAAAATGAGGTGTGTTCAGGCACATTGTTGGCGCGTTGCTATTTTGAGGCTGCTGAAAACCACTGCGCCATTGATCAACTGAAACCTGTTCTAAAGTCAATGGCGCAATATTTGTATTTATTTATTCATTTATTTATTCATTGTTATTTAAAGACCGCGTTAGTAATATGTGTCTATAGGCAGGTCCACAACGTACACTTTGCTTATTACAATACACACACAGGGACTCGCAGCACACAAACATTTTTTAATATGAAAAATTAAAGGATTAAAATGTAAAAGATTATTATTGTGTACATAAATATAAAAATGCCTACACGTCATAATGGATAGTCATTGCATGTATCAGAATTAGCCTACCTATTTGCTCGCGCACCAGCAGATCTATTTCAGAAGCGTTCTATTTTTCCACTTGCAAATTCCGCCATGGCGCGAGCGCAACTGGCTTTAAAAGGGTTAAGGCTAGAAGGGATACGTATGGTGCTACTGGGCATGCGCACATCAATACAACGTAATTTTTTTCACACTGTACAACAATAATTGCAATTTTTTTCATTATTGTAAGGGGTAGGTTTAGGTTTAGGTTTAGGCTTGGGGTAGGTGTAGGTGTAGACGTTAATAAACCACAATCTAATAGGTAGAAAATTAATTTCATTGTTAGTTTCCGGTCGGAGCTATATCCCTTCTAGCCACAACCCTTTTAAAGGGAATGGGAGATGAGACTCTGATTGGTTTATTGCACGTTATGCCCAAAACACACCCATGACTTATTAAAGGGGTCATATGACATTGCTAAAAAAAGAACATTATTTTGTGTATTTGTTGTAATGAAATGTGTTTATGCTGTTTAAGTTTCAAAAAACATATTATTTTCCACATACTGTACATTATTGTTGCTCCTCTATGCCCCCCTTTTTGAAACGCGTCAATTTTTACAAAGCTCATCGTTCTGAAAAGCGAGGTGTGCTCTGATTGGCCAGCTATCCTGTGCATTGTGATTGGTCGAATACCTCAACATAAACATAAAGCCATGCCTGCATTTGTGATCAGAGAAACGACAAACAACAAGCAACAAACAACAAGTGTTACTCTACACTGCTCAAGACTCGCGTTTGAATAGTCAGTGGAAAATTCTTTAACCCTTAAATGCATGAATGTTTCGCCAATCATTATTACATATTCAGGTCTTTAGCGACCCGGACCTATATATCCAGCACTGATGGATTTCTAACTGCTGCAATAGCAAAAAACTCTCTTGATATTTTAAGAACAATTACAGAAGAATAAAATAAAGCATATTTCGTTACCTTTTGAAACTTAAAAGGGTTCAATTTGAGCAGATGATTTTACCATCGCTGTCATTATCAGAGCGCACTTCCACAGTATATTCAACATCTGCCTCACATTCACAATCTCAACCTATTCTCAAAACTATCATTTTCAATGACTTCATATTCAATATTTTGATCACTGGCAGCTTATTCACCACATCCAGCA